CCAAAGGGCCGGGGCTACTGCTGAGAAGGCCCTCCTCCTTGTGGTTGCCAGCCGACACTGGCTGGCCGATGGAGACTAGACTACCATCTATCAGAAATGGTATTGGGGTCTCCTGCTTGGGTGGAGGGTTGGACTGGATGACCTACAAGTTCCCTTCCAACACTGTTAAAGTCTATCCTTGGTTAGAATTGAGCAAATCCTGCATAATGTAGATCCCCAGAGAACTGATCTACCAAATCAAACCAGAAACGGACTTCAGACAGCTTATTTGTGAGAATCGAAGCAAAGCTTCTTACAGAGAACGCTATAAAAAGAACTGAATCGAGCACAGTGTGTGGGAGTCACATGACATGGTGTGCTTGTGAATGGAACACATTTTTTGCCCAGGATATTTGCGTGAGCTCTCAAGAGGTTTTGCATCACTGAACCTTCTGTTTGGGTGAAGAAGATGGAAGTGAGATGACTTCATAGGTCAGACACTCCAGATATGCAGAAGGCTGATGTTAACATCTTATCAGTGAGTCAGAATTCCAGCTTGTCTTGGCACTAACTCATGAGACAAAAATGCAATTGGTTACACAACAGATAAAAATATGGAGAAACAGCAAGCAGCCACTTTATTCTCTGGCACCGTTTGCCCGTTGCGATTTTGGGTGCCTCGGCCCCCTCATCATTTCTTAAATTAAGCTGCACAAGTGAGATTTAAGGGCAACTAGAAAAAAAAAAATCTCCTCTGCTAATTGTTCAACCTTTACCCTATCAAAGCCAAATAGCCCATCTGGTAGATAAACCAAACAAAGCAATTGCTTTTCTTCTTTTAGATGAACTAATATTCCTTTATTTGCTGAAAATGAATTGTGATTATATATATAATAAGTGCATTGATGCACTGAGCCCCATAAAAGATAGAAATATTCTGGTCGGATGGTAAACAGCCTTGTGGTCTGAACAGTGAAAAAGACAATGTGCTTTCCTGATTGACAATGCCCAAACTGAATAAAAGCAGAAAAGTAAGAACTCCATACTGGTTAGTAAGCAGCAGATTGGTTCTTGGATAGCAATAGCTATAGCAAATAGTGTAAGGCCTGCAATCATATTCCTTTTTGATCTTTGGCCTGCCACACACTTTCTCTTTCTTTACTATGCTGTTTCATTAGTGGGGAATTGGGAAGGGATATAGTAAGGAGTAGAATGTGTTGTTATCAAAATAAAGCATTCCTTTCTAGAAGTCCAAGGCCATCCTTTGTCTCTGTACCTGAGCGGAACTAGATGGGTGGAAATGCCAGTATGGCAGAGGAAGATTGGACCATGTGATTGGACTTGTGAGTGTGGGGGACAAGATCATGAACTTTCAACTGGGTGGGAACTCCAGGAAGCTTTCAGATTCGGGTTTCCCACAGAAGTACCAACGTGTCTCTCTTACTAAATTGGAACTTTGCTGAAAGCTCTGCCTTGGACTCTGATTTAATTCTGGATGATATTTGGAACGCTGACATTTAGACTTACATACCACTTCACACGTCACAAATTTTGTGTCTTATACACCGAATGTAGCTGTGCTCACCCGCTGACCCCCACCCTTTGGCCTCCGCGTGTCACATTTTAGATCTGTTCCAGGCTGCGGGGATTGCCACAGACCATCGCCCCCTCTGTGCATCATGTTTAAGGCCTCTGCGCATCACTTTTAGGTCTCCACACATCCTGTTTTTCGCCTCTGCGTGTCATGTTTTTGGGTGTCGATGTGCTTTGGAGATCCCCGCAGCCTTGAACGAGTCTCAAACGGAGTGGTTGGAGGCTGAAAATGGCAACCCAGAACAGCTGCTGCCTTGTCTGACTGGTTCCGCGCTTCGCCTGCTGTACTCACTGGAGCTCCCTGTGATGGTCAGCTGTGTTTTTGTAGCTGCGTATCATCCCCAACATGCGTGCTCACAACCAGAGAAACTTTTGCTACAGTGCACCTCTGGGAACAGCTGATTGGGGGTATTCCGGGAGGCCAATCCACCCGCCAATCAGCTGCTAGTGCTGAATCAGGCGAATGTGCTGAAGCTGACCAGGCTGTTTGCTAAGGATGCTAGTCAGATGATTACTGATGGATGCTGATAGGCAGAGGCAGAATTTTTTTTCTTATTTTCCTCCCCAAAAACTAAGGTACGTCTTATACTCCAGAGCATCTTATACTCCAAAAAATATGGTATATACCACTTCACATGCTTTACAGCCCTCTTAAATGGTTTACAGAGTCAGCAAAGTGCCCAAAACAATCTGGGTCCTCATTTTACCGACCTCTGAACGATGGAAGGCTGAGTCAACCTTGAGACTAGTGACATTTGAACTGCCAAATTTCAGGCAGCTGGCAGGCAGCAGAAGTAGCCTGCAGTACTGCACTCTAACCACTGTGCCACCACAGCTCATCGGTAATGTTATTAGAATGTAACATTGCGTTCTAATCATTCTTGGTTGACAGCAGCTGGTACTTAAACCACATTAAATGCAGAGAGAGAGAGAGAGAGAGAGAGAGAGAGAGAGAGAGAGAG